TGTGTATTTCAAGGACAAGCGCGCAAGGGCAGAGGCTTACGTGTGTATTTCAAGGACAAGCGCGCAAGGGCAGAGGCTTACGTGTGTATTTCAAGGACAAGCGCGCAAGGGCAGAGGCTTACGTTCTTGAAAGGATGTGAAGAGCATCTGGAAGCGGCTGTTGCGGCTGCCTTCGTCTGCCCACATGCGGATCACACCGAGACCGGTGCGCAGCATCACGTCGTTGGCCACGGTGCTGCAGAACTTGGCTTTCAGGTCCTCCACGGAGCTGCTGCCGTCGTACACGGCCACGAAGTTCCTTTTGCACTCATTGGAGTTCTGCATCTCATAGTCCAAGAACCGTAGGTAGATCTGCAGGACAACACGAAGGAAAAATGATGGGTCACATCAAAATGTGAGCATGGTTCAGTACGTACCGGACTTCCTTTCTCTGTGCAGGGCTCGTGAGACGGTCTTGATTGCGATTAGTCTCATTAATTCTTTCCTGTGTGGATGGCAGGGTGGAATGACACACAAGTGTGGGAAAAGTTGGACTTAATTTTTTCTATTGTTCTTATCCTTTCTTTATTTCACTGTTCCATTTCCCATTCTTAAGTATTTTTACTCAAACCATTCCTAGGTCTGCTCATAACTTATTCAGACTCAGTTATTCATTTCGCAAACATAGACACTTTTAAAATTTTTTGTCAGCACATAGTTTTACCCAGTTCTGACACATTCCTGTAAATTTCCATAGCTTCCATTTACTTCTCAAAGTGTGGGGAAATAAATAATTACTACAAAGCAAAAACAAAAGGCATATCCGGTGGGCAGTGTGTGATTTCGGTGTGGTTACTTATTTCACATAACTGCACTGCCTCTTTTGAGGTCAAGTGTATTGAAATAACAGCACAGAAAGTCAAAGGTCATTCTCACTGGAGCACAGAGTCAGGTTATTTAGGTAAGTTCACAAAAAAGAAAATTAAATTAACATTTGATGACCATAAGGTACAACTTAATTTAAATGCTTTTTTTCATACTCCTGACAATTCCACACAGTAGCTCATCTTATTGTCATATTCAAGGAGGAAACTCAGACTCTGAGAAATGGCTTATAGGGAAATTAGACACCAAGGGCCTCTAATTCACAGGTCTGGAAGCCTTCCAAGATATGATGCTCATTCAGACACCTTGTTTTATAGTCAACAGATATTATTTGACTTTGTTCCAATGTGCTTTCAGAATCATGCACAAATGATCCAAACCAAAGACAAGTCTGGAAAAAACTGCACATCCACTCATCCATCCATCCAGTGCTATCTGAAGCCTCTTACATTGAGCCACGCACTGGTGATACAAGGGGGGATGACACAGAATGAGGGGCAGTGCTGAAAAGAAGTGTCAACTAAATCATGACAGCAAGGTGTCATGTCCAACTGTGAGGAGTGACGGGCTGTAAAACAGGCAAACAAACAAAAAACATGTGCTATGAGAAGGTACAAAACCATAAATGCCTATTTGCTGTTTTCTTTTTTTGATAAAACATGAATGAAAAGCTAATGACATGCATTCCTTTTTAAAGCCATCTTTTTCATCACTTTAAATGAACTTCCTGACTTATTTCATAACCTGCGACTTTGAAGAAAAATTTTACCAGATTCTTAGCCCTAAAATGTAAGTCTTACTATTTAAATTTAAAACCTTCTTGCTTTAATTGAATTGGGCATCAATTTCTTCTTCTAAGAGTTGTTTTTCATCTTCTGGGATGTAGGGCAGGAGACGCTCCCAGAGCAATCTCTTGGTTGTGCCTCCCTAACCCCCCAATTTCAAGGTGATTACACTGAGAATGGCGCCTTCCCCCATCTTGTCCAGCTGCCTCACTCAGACATCTTTCATATTTGTGTCACCTTGGAATGCCATTCTGCACCCCTCTGGCACCCTTTGGACTTGTTGAGGGGGTGGCACAACCATCCCCCCTGCCCACGGCCTGAGAGTCTGTGCTCGAGGAAGGACACGTGGCCAAGCCGGGTTAATACAAACTGCTTGGTGGCACCTCCTTTCCAGTGGTGCCCAGGGCATATACCCACCTGACCATACCTCAGACACTCCTTTGTGTACTTCTGTGATGTGTCAAAAGTCTCCCACCTGGACTCCAGGGTGTCCAAATCTCCTCCAGGCCCCACCCACAGGCCAGGGCAGACCAGGCTCTACTTCTAAGGAACAATCTACATCACACTCTTTTAGCTGAAATTGTTAACCGGCTTCTAAGAGGCTATCATAAAAATTTTTTAAAACTTTATCTGGCAAATTTCCTTTCTTATCTCTCAACTCTACACATTGATTTTCAAAAGGCCACACTTTCTACCAATGGCATGAGCTTTGCATTGAACAACTCCCGTCCAATTTTCTCCTATTAACTTCCTCCTGATTACTCAAGGTTGGTCCAAACCAAAACCAAACTCACTGCCATTGAGTTGATTCCGACTCATAGTGACCCCTCTTTGGATTTCCGAGGCAGTAAAACTTTAAGGAAGTAGATTGCCCAGTGTTCCTTCTGCAGAGTCATTGGTGGATTTAACCTCCAACGCTCTGGTTAGCAGTCAGATGCCTTAGGCATTATGCCACTAGAGCTCCTTTATCCAAGGTTGGTATTTTGGTCTTAATTCAACTCCAGGAATTCACAGAACACCGACTGAAATGTTCAACAAACTCATGCAGCATTGAAGGGGCTCACTCATCTCTGCCAAGAAATCTGGAAAAGAGCTACCTGGCCAAGTGACTGGAAGAAATTCATATTTGCACCCATTCCAGAGAAGGTGATCCAACTAAATGTGGACTTTATCAAACAACATCTTTAATACCCCATGCAACAAAACAAAAAAAAAGCTGGAGACAATTCAAAAACGATTGCAGCAGTATACTGACAGGGAACTGCCAGAAGGGCAAGTTGGATTCAGAAGAGAATGTGAAACAGGGGGTACCTTTGTGGACGGTCTTTTCAATAACCTCATCTGCATGCAAAAGCTGGACAATGAATAAGGACAACCAGAGAAGAATCGATGCATATGAATTATGGTGTTGGCAAAGAATATTGAATATACCATGGGCTGCCAGAACAAAAATCAAGTCTGTCTTAGAAAAGGTACAGCTGGAATGATCTTAGATGGGAGACTTTGTCTCCCCTACTTTGGACATATTATCAGGAGATGCCAGTTCCTGGAGAAGGACATCATGCTTGGTAAAGTACAGGCTTGGGAAAAAGGCAAAGACCCTCAACAAGATGGATTGACACGGTGGGTGCAGCAATGAGGTCAAGCATGGTAAGGACTGTGAGGTGGTGAAGGACCGGGCCGGGCAGCATTTCGTCCTGTTGTACACATACGGTCACTATGAGTGGGAGCGACTCAACAGCACCTGACGACAACAGTTCAACAGTCACATGGTCAATGAAAAATGTTCACTGCTCCCACATACTTCGACCAAGGCAGGATTATTTTCTATACCCTCTGTGCTAACACCTCAAACATTTTAAGCTTTGGTTGCTGATTAGATGTCCCTTGTACTAAATGAAGTGTTCTTAAAAAGGTAGGACAGTGGCACACATTTTCACATTCAGCTTCGGTAGTGTTCTGCAGACACAAAGAAGTTGTAGGAGTTCATGAAAGGGTGTCCCTGTGAATGACAAAATGAAAGATGTGCCTTATGACTTCATTTGTTCAGCATTTCTCCCATTTCCACCGGACGCCTTGGGGCCAGGCAGGAGTCCTGGAGTGAAGCACACAGTCCTAGCTAAGCAGCTAAATGACAGGTGTCAGTCCACCCACAGCCCCGCGGAGGAAAGGCCCGCTGCTGGAAACCTTCCGGGGCACAGCTCTGCTGGGACACACGGGCTCCCCAGGAGTCGGATCAACTCATGGCAACTGGTTTTAGGTGCAGACTTTAAGTGCTGGAATAATAATAATTTTATTATAAAAATTAGAATTTTATTATCTGAGTAAGAAACTATATGCAATATTTCTTAAAGCAAGTTATTTGTGATACAGATTTTAACCATGACATAAAAGCATAAAAAAGTATGTTTGAGACTTGTAAAATGCAGCAGTAAAAATAAGAATTCAGACCTGAGGAAATCCTCATATAACTTTGTAGAAAAACCAAAAACCAAGAAATGTGAGGAAGTTAACCAAACTGCAATGGAAGGTCTTAGGTTTTATTTGCTTTGTGTGTAAAAAGGTTTTCAGGTGCACAGGCAAGCCATAATGCTGGGAACTATTCTAGAATTTCCCAGAACTCTGATGCAGAATTTAAATTCCCACCATGGCTGGGGCCTTAGCAAGCCTCCGCTCTGAGGAAGCTGCCTTTTTTCTGCTCCAGATGATCGTCTTATTTTAGTCTAGGAAGAGCTCAGCTGTTACTCAGGTAGGCAATCTGGGATCTACTTTTCCCAACAAAAGCTCACATTTCTGAAATTATGCACGTAACTGAAAGATGGCAACTGTAAGAAGATGTATCAAAATGTGCATCATTCCACATTTTCACTAACTCCTTTGTCTATTCTTATTTACATGTTTTTGTTTTTTTTTTTTAAAGGGAAAAAAGCAACTTCACTGGGAGTCTGAACTGGGATGCAGCCCCTAAGTCCCTGGCCGAGGCTCTTCTCACAGCTCCACAGCACCCCCTCCCAATTGAAAATAAACATGTTGAAAGCACAACACACAAGTTTCTGGGTGGCTCAACAGAGAGCTTGGGTGGCGCAGTGGTTAAGTGCTCGACTGCTAACCAGAAGGTCGAAAGGTCGGCGGTTCAAAGCCAACAGCTGCCAATGACAACTGTAAACACATACTCCGGCTCAGTATTGCAAATAGCAACACTCCCTGATGAGTGTGTAAGGTCACCTCACCACCAGGGTCCTTACAATTTTACACCAATCAGACAGCAAACCCAGAGAAAGAAAAAGAATTCCTCACTGATCACATTAACTCAGGGGAGAACGGCATTTGACCACCTGGTGTGTGGGGTGGAAGCGTCTCAGGGTCCTGATGTGCCTGGACAGTGGTTGCAGGCATCCTTCTACACTGCATTATAAATACATGCAAATTAACTCATTGATTAATAACTGAGGAGACATGCAGGGGATATTGACAACAGCTTGAGGTTTCGTGCTATTGCATTATTTCAGTCAAATCTTTCAAAAACCATAGGCACTTGTGAAAAACCATTTTTAGATGAGAAACTGAAGTTTAGGAAAATTCCATAAACTTCTCAAGATGACTCAGGCTTTTTGGTAAAGTCAGGTTCCCAACACAGAGCTGCTTGATACCCGCTCCTCATCCCCACATTGGGCACACCTGTGTATCGGCGTGGTAAATGGT